CCCCTCCCCCTTCCCCCCCCCGAGGGGGGGGGGGGGGGGCACCTGTCGCCAATGAGTACAGGGCATGGGTGGTGAGTTTTATGGGCCTGTGGTAGCCAGGTAGTAGGAATATTCCTGGCCCAGGGCCAAGCACCCCAAAAGTTAGGGACTAGGTCTCTTCCCTAGTGAGTCTGCTGGCCCCCCTGCCACCACAAGGTGATTTAAAATGGCCCAGCGGCCCCACCACTACTACTGGCAGCAGAGAAGGGCTAGAGCAGCTGCTGGTGCAGCTGCTGGCACATCCCTGTGGCCTCTGGGTAGGGAGTATTTCTCTTCACATACTGCCACCGGCCAACTGGAAACTGCAAGGGAGGTGCCTGCGGACAGCAGCAGACAAAGACCCTGCTGTCAGAGAGGGGTGCCCCAGGTAAGTGCCAGCTCCCCAGGTCCTCACCTGCACTCCCTCCTGTACCCCACACCCATCTAGAGCTTACAGTCTTACCCCCTCCTGGACCCTGTACCACACCTCACCCCAGACTCCCTCCCAGAGTCCCTGCCTGCACGCAAACTTCCTCCCAAAGCTTGATCCCTCACCTCTCTTGTACTCTCAGTCCCAGAACCCACACCCCCTCTTTGTCCCAGTCCTCTGCCCCAGTGCAGAGGATTCACCCACAGCACCCAAACTCTCTCTGAAAGCCTTAAGCAGGAGGTGGGGAGGGACTTTTGGTGGGGAAGGTGTGCCCGCTCTGGGCATTCTGGGCACCATCAAAATTCCGCAGATCTGCTCCCTCTTATCTCCCCAGGCACAAAGAATCTTTGATTCATAGACTCTAAGGCCCGAACAAGGACCATCCCTCTGACCTCTTTTTTAATACACGCAATAGGACTTCCTCAAAGTAATTTTGCACATAACTCGTATCAGGGCTGAGAGGAGTATGAGCTGGCATTGAACCACCTTATAAAGGCATCTCTCCCTTTGCAGTGATTCGAAGGTAAAGAGCTGAATTTCTTTTATTCCACATCCACATAGACTATTGCTGTCATTTATAAATTATACCCGCTCTCTGAACTCTGAGAATACAAATATGGGACAATGTGAGGTAACAGTGCATTGACATTTCCTTTAAATGCATCTGTTCCCACACAATACAATTTCCTCATGTTATGGTGTCCCAATTTACATAGATGTTGCACATTACAACTAGTCCTTTTCAGACCTGCCTGTTTCCAAATTCTGTTCTGAGTAGTTTGCAATATGGGATACCAGCTTTTTAAAAAGAAATAATAACCTATATTAAAGAAAATGGTTACATTTAGTTTGTCCCTCTGTTACTAGAATTCTTAAATATTGAGAAGTTGTGTCCTTTTCTAGTGGAAATACACAGAATGTCAATTTCTAAGATTCCCTCCTATTGCTGGATTACTTTGACCTTTGGAGGCTCTGGATCAGGAGGCAGGAGGTGGCTGAAAGCGGACTTGAAGGTCTCCCACTGTCCACTTCTAGGAAAAGGGAATGGTGATGTTCAACTGAGCATTAGGTTTTAAGAGCTGGATCTGCAGTTTGAGCTGCCATTGATGCCACTGTCCAAGGTCTGATCAAAGTCCACCAGCTCTGACAGATTGGCACTTTCTGTTACTAATGTAACATGATTAAGTGGTCTGGAATCACAAAAGCTTATGCCCAAATAAATCAGTATGTCTACACTACAAAGTTAATTCAAACTAACAGACGTTAGTTCGAATTAACTTTGATAGGCGCTACATATGCAAACGGCTAGTTCAAACTTAATTCGAACTAGCGGTGCGCTTAATTCGAACTAGGTAAACCTCATTCCACGAGGACTAACACCTAGTTCTAATTAACTAGTTTGAATTAAGGGCTGTGTGGCCACTTAATTCGAACTAGTGGGAGGCTAGCCCT